AAAACAGTGATTATGTATGAGTGAGGTGAAAGTGTTGAATGATGATGAAAGTATTTTCTTTTTGGGGATTTTCTCTCTCTTTGGGTCACCCTGCCTCAGTGGGAGATGGCTGACTTGTTGAAAAAAAAAATAAATAAAAAAGACTCTGTATGCCAACAGGAAGACCTAGACAGACTGAGAAAGTTGAGTACTAGATGGATGGAATTTGTTTTGAATAAAAGTCGTGTAACAGAAAGTGAAAAAGTCTCTCAAAGAATATAAATTGCATGATAAAATACTAAAACTATCAGACAGAGAGAAACAGAGGAGTCACAACTGCAAAAAGACTGTCATCAGAAGATTATATTAATGAAATTGTGAACAGCTCCTATGGTTTGACACAATAGACCATGGCATCCTACTCCACAAACTTGACCACTATGGTATAAGAGGACATGCGCTTGCATATTTTAAATCCTACCTTTCTAATAGGTATCAGTATGTCACCATTAAAGACACAGCCTCATCAATACGGCCACTTGATACTGAAGTTCCGCAGGGAAGTGTCCTTGGACCCCTGCTCTTCCTCATTTACATCAATGATCTTCCAAACATATCCCAACACCTGAAACCCATTCTCTTTGCTGACGACACGACTTATGTCATCTCCCACCCTAATCTTGCCACCCTCAACACCATTGTTAATGAGGAGCTGCTCAAAATATCGACTTGGATGACAGCCAATAAACTTACACTTAACACTGGCAAAACCTACTATATTATGTTTGGTAGCAGAGCAGGTGTTGCGCAACTTAACATTAAGATTGACAACACTCTAATTGCCAGACATAATGAGGGCAAATTCCTTGGCCTATACCTCGACAACAACCTAAATTTCAGCACCCATATCCAATACATAACCAAAAAAGTATCCAAAACGGTGGGGATCCTCTCCAAGATACGATACTGTGTGCCGCAAACTGCCCTTCTCACACTATACCATTCACTTATACATCCATACCTCACCTATGCTATCTGTGCTTGGGGTTCAACTGCAGCAACACACCCAAAGCCAATAATAACCCAACAAAAAGCCGCAGTAAGAATAATCACTAAATCCCATCCCTGGCAACACACCCCCCCACTCTTCATAGATCCAAACTTACTCCCTGTGCAGAACATCCACACTTAATACTGTGCAATCTATATCTACAGGACCTTAAATTCCAATATTAACCTTGACCTAATATGCTTTCTTGATAGTTGTAACAGGATCCACAGGCATGACACCAGACACAAACATCTCTATGACATTCCCCGTGTTTGACCAAACCTTTACAAAAATTCAATGTATTTCAAAGGACCTAAAATCTGGAACACCCTACCTGAAAACTCTAGAACTGCAGACACATTCATCACTTTCAAAACTACAGTTAGAAAACATCTTATCTCCCTGATCCACCCCGACAACTAACTACATGATAACCACCTGGTGGTTCACAATTACACTCACTCACCCACTGACTATAAACCCAGAAATACTAATCTTAATCTTAAAATAATAAATCCTAACTAGTCATAAGTTTGCCTATGATACTCCAATATAGACACCTTGTATTGTGCCAAAACAAAAGCATTCACATTGCTAAACTCACAAATTATGATGTAGTCACTTAGCCTTAATACCATAATCTGTAAGGATTTAATGTTAAGAATTAATCTAAGTCTGCTCGAAATGCCTAGCCAGGCTAGGTGTCCTAGTGGCCCCCTCTGTAATTAGTATTTTATAACATGTAAACCACACAATACCCAAAACCTGTAAACTCCACATTGTAACCCTTATAGAGAATAAACTTGAACTGAATTGAATATGGATGGAGAAAACATAAAAAGAGGCTGTTCACAACATATGCTAGACCAAAATTGAAATCTGAAGCTGTGGTATGGTGTCTGAACCTAAAAATATGTGCACAAACTGGGGAAAGCTCACAGATCAGCTACAAACTGGTTCCAAGAGCTAGATAAATATACTAAAAAGGAATGATGAAAACAGATATGTCCTCACTGTCTCACGGAAAAGAAGCAACATGATAAAAACAATATTAATGAAGGGTAAAAAAGGATTGATTAACCCTTTGAGGGTCGACAGGCCCTCTCCGAGACTCGTTCTCAGGGTCGGCCAAATTTAAAAAAAAAAAAAAAAAAATCTTATGAAAAGACAGAGAATCTTTTCCCGATCATAATGACACCAAAAATATGAAATTTGATGGAAAACTTACGGAATTATGCTCTCGCGAAGTTAGCGGTCTCAGCGATGTTTATGCATCAGCAATTTTGCCCACTTTGAGCCCCATTTTTGGCCAATTCCACTGTACTAGTTGACAAAAAACATGAATATTTCGCTAGAACTCCATTTTTTCTATCGAATGAGTGCAAGAAATCACCCATTTACGAATTTCAACTATCCAGTACAGCGGTCAGAATTTAGCAATTTTGCCAATTTCACACAAATTTCAAAAGATGCCAATTTCCGAATAGGATCCAGAATAAACAAGACAGACATTCCTGGCACTAAAATGACATTTCCTCTGTTCATTAGTCACATCTCAAGGCCCCTCTTACATTCTTTTGCTTTCCACTTTGAATTTTTATTCTCACAAAAAATAGAAGATTTACTGTTATGCAGACTACTGCATTAGTGTAAAAAATGGTATAAATAATATTGGTGCATTTGCAAAAGAATATTAGACTCACCAGTTGATGTGTATTGGACGCTTGGCATGATTTGTTTACTTTTGAACTTTGGTAAAAATCGAACATTTCTGCTACTTTGAGCTCAATTTCAAGGTACTTTTCATTTTAAAACCAGTAAAAATCATCTCAATTTCTGTAATATGTCTTCCATTCCATAAAATGAGACCAAGAAAAGTAGAATACAACAATAAATACCATACGAAAATACAGTGCAAAGTCGCTGTTTTATTCCAAAAAAACAGTCAAAGTTTTTTTTTCTCATTATGCACTGTGTGCTGCAGGATTTTTTTTATACTGTGCACACTGACCACATAGACCCATTCTTTCATATGTAGGCCTACCAGCTTTCTCCCACTAGATTTGAGGGCGCTAGAATTTAGGCGTACTAGCACGTCAAAAACCCTGGGTCGTAAGCCGTACTACTACAGCCAAAACCCTCCAAGGGTTAATTAGCTACCCAGTACAGTACCATCAACTGCTAGAACAAGAGGCTATTGCTATATACTAAGACAAAAAAGGTGCCAAAAGGATAAGATAAAGTTCTTCACAGAGTTGTAGTAAAACAATGTACTTGGGTACAAGAAGAGGTAACAAGTTCTACACTCACTATCAATTTAAAAATATTACACAATAAAATACAGAAGACAGGACACTGTGATCTTAGCTCTTCTGCTATAGCAACAAGTAGATAATTCCAGTACAAAATATAGTACTGTATATTACACTCTATATAAGGGCTTACAAAAGTCGAAGATGAATACAGAATACTGCCATTCAAGACTCGCTAAGTCTTACATATGTATGCTACTTAACCCTTTGACTGTTTTCGACGTATAAATACGTCTTACGAGCCAATGTTTCTGACGTATATATACTCAATAATTCTAGCGGCTTCAAATCAAGTGGGAGAAAGCTGGTAGGCCCACATGTGAGAGAATGGGTCTGTGTGGTCAGTGTGCACCACATAAAAAAAATCCTGCAGCACACATTGCGTAATGAGAAAAAAAAAACTCTGATCGTTTTTTTGGAATAAAACGCCGACTTTGAGGTGTATTTTCGTATAGTATTTATCGTTGTATTCGCGTTTTCATGGTCTTAGGTGATAAAATGGAAAACATATTACAGAAATAGAGATGATTTTCATTAATTTTACGATGAAAACGACCTTGAAACTGAGCTCAAAGTAGCGGAAATGTTCGATTTTTACCAATGTTCAAGAGTAAATAAATCACACCACACGTCCAATACACGTCAACTGGGGAGTCTAATATTCTTTCACTAGTGCACTGATATTATTTATACCATTTTTATAATAATGCAGTCGTCTGCATAACAGTAAATTTTGTATTTTTTTGTATGAATAAAAAATCAAAATAGAAAGCAATAATAATATAAGAGGGGCCTAGAGATGTGACTAATGAACAGAGCATATGTTATTTTAGTGCCACGAATGTCTACCATGTTTATTCTGGACCCTATTTTGAAATTGGCATCTTTTTTATTTCGCGTGAAATTGGCCAAATTGCCAATTTCTGACCACCATATTGGGTAGTCCAAATTAGTAAATGGGAGGTTTCTTGTACTCAGCTGATAGATAAAATGGAGTTCTAAAGAAATAGCTATGAGTTTGGTCAACTGGAACAATGGAATTGGCTGAAAATAGGGCTCAAAGTCGGCGAAATCGCCGATACGCATATGTCGCCGAGACCGCTAACTTCGCGGGAGCATAATTCCACGAGTTTTCGACCAAATTTCGAACTTTTGGTGTCACTACCATCGGGAAAAGATTCTCTATCATTTCATAAGAAAAAATAATTTTTTTTTTTTTTCAAAAATTGAGCGACATAGAATGACAGTTTCAGAGAGGGGCCTGAAACAGTCAAAGGGTTAACATGCAAGTTTTTCTGTGACTTAAGTGACATCCAATGGGAACTTCAGTAACATTATTCATTGCACTTGCATTCCTACCAATATGAAGTGAAATTCCATACCATCATGCCCCCAAGAGGGATGTGTTGATGCTTTTGAAGGACTCTTGATACAAGGAATTAAAGCTGCTCGTGCATTGATCAAGGCTAATTACTTCCCATTCACCAGGCACTATATGACCACTACAGATTCAACGCTACCATTACATAACAATCCATGCTTTTGAGAATGTTCAGAAGCAAAAGAGGAATATTGCAGTCTTGTACGTTTAGTCCTGTTGTATTCCTCTTATGCCTCATGTGAAGGGTAAATGAGTTACCAAATAGATTGAAAATTACCTTTTTAAAAACAAATGGTTCTTCATCCCAAACAGGATTAATGCAATTATTTGGAACAGTTTTAGTTCTAAACCGCTTACGAACTGTGTCTGCAGGCAAACCATACATCTCCACCTCAACATAGCAACCAGCACGCTTGTCTGACAAGAACTGCCCAGATATCACCTGTAATGAAATGAAAATAATAAGGATAGTACAATATACAGGTTAGTACTGGCCTTGATTGCCTCTTACCGTCAGTATTCCAAACTGGATTTGAATTCATACCCTGAACATGATACATAAATATATTATAGTCTCCTTACAGTTGTTACTATTATTCACTTAAGAGGGTGAATAGTAGTGGTGGTAGAATTGCTCTCACACATTCCTTATTCTCTGAACCCTACTGCTGGCTTGGGCCTCAGCATTAATGTACTAAAGCTAAACCCTTCCTCACTAGTCAACTTAACATGACAGTGTCAGCCCTTTGTGCATAGATCATTCTACACAGCACTTGTGCAGACAGCTTAGATATGTGGTGGAGTTTTGGATAACGAAATCTGCAAAATTGCCATTTTGCTGTGGCCAAAGCCAGAGTAACATCCCTTGCACATCATCTTGACACAACCTCTCACAATATGAAATGATAATCTTACAGTATCATGAAAAGTAATAAATTGTATAAGGAGTATTGAGAATTGAACCCCTGTCCTAGCAGTTTCAAACCCAGAGCTATACAGACTCAGCCAATTGTAAGGATGGCAATTCGGTCCCCATTGCTTCTTACACGATTTGTAAGGGAAACTAGGCTCGGTTCATTATCACAATCTTTGAAGTGAGAGGATTAATAAATATGAAAAGTATTAACATTAACACCCCTCTTCTGAAGGAGGGTTGCTAATGTTGCAGTTTTATAACTGTAGTGTATGTGCACCTCTGCAAGACAGTGATTGAGTGAATGATAGCGAGTTTTTCTTTTTCGGGCCACCCTACCTTGGTGGGAAATGGCCAATGTGTTAATAAAAAAATAATATGAAAAGTATACTAAATTTTTTCCCCAAAATACATCTCCAATTATGGACATACAGTACACAATATGAATTACTGTATGAATCAATATTCATTAATACTTTCTCTTTGTTCACAGTTTTCTTTGGTGGGAAAAAGCCAATGTGCCAAAATATGCACTTGGGAAATAAATTTGTTACAGTACTATTTCTTATACAGTGGTACCTTGAGTTACGAACTTAATTAATTCCAGAAGGCTGTTCGAGTGCCGTTACCAAACGAATTTGTTCCCGTAAGGAATAATATTAATTAGATTAGTCCATTTCAGACCCCCAAAAATACACTTACAAAAATACACTTACATAATTGTTCGAGATGGGAGCTGTTCAAAACTCGAGGTGCCACTGTACTAATTATGTAGTACATTACTTCTATTCTATGTAAATGTCTAAGTTTTAGCTTTAGAGTGTATGTAATTCACCCATTCACAAATTGATCTAATTATGTTTATGTATACTATAGAATTGCTCAATACCTGTGAGTCAGTCTCATTAATCCATGACTTGCACAAGCTATTTTTCTATGATATTACAAGTTGTGCTCCTAGACCCACTACTTGGTCATGGTGTCAAGCTGCTGTTTACATTGTGCTCACAGAAGTGACTTGCTTGCTCCATTATGCCATGATCTGGAAGTTGAGCTCACTGGAACTCACACCTACATATGCTATTGTAATATGTGAACATTGTGTATGTTCAGTGTCCTATTTGTACTGTAACTAACAACAACAAAAGTTACACTAATATGTTTAAGCTTAAGACTAGGTCCATGGGGCTATGGAAGAAATCTTTCCTTTTCACACAAATTCAGTATAGAGATTTTCCCAACCATGAGCTTCTCACAAAATACATCTGTGCAGATTATTAGGAAATATAATGCAACACACATTCCCTGCTAGATATAGAAATAATACATGAAAGAACACTATGAAATCTCAGCTCAAAAACTTCTAAAATAACTAGCAGCTCCACTTTTAAACATAATCCTAGAAAATACTTGGGACCTTATCAAATGTTAAAATAATAATTTTATATTCTTAACCATCAATTAGTAACCTAACTTTCGAGATGCATGTTTTATAAATGGAATAAAAGTGCATTGATAACACACATTAAATTAAGCTGAGAAAGCTGTATCAAGCAGGTCTTTGGCTAAGAGAAATATAATTGAATCAAGCTTCATAAAAAATAGTGTTGATTTTAATATGAATATTGGTTTAGGGCTATAAAAATTAGATTCATTTATAATAAAATTTGGGAAGAATTTAAGCTACATTTGACAAGTTCTTGACCATCTTACTTGCATCGTCATAAAGGAATGGGTGAGGTCTTGTAAATTGACTGTGAGGTGTCATCTTGACCTTATAAGCCTTCAGCTGTTCTATTATTTTTACAGTTCCTTGATAATGTGAGAAATCACATTATCAAGGAACTGTGATCTTATGGCAACATTACATTAAAATGACATTTTTCTGTACTAACCTTAACAGAAACTGTTCCAGCAATAATACCATCTACTGTTGACTCAGCAAATGGATCAAATCTCCTGTCTGGTCTTCTCATGAAGTCAGGTTTAAGTAGATAACCAGATCTGTTATTAAACTCAAAAATTCCTAAATTCAACTGCATTGCAAGGTCTGAAAATAAGATGGACAGAGTGTATGTGATAATATAATGAAGAAAATCACACAAAATACATGTATATTACTGTATTTTGGAGAAATATGAAATGTACATTATGTAACATACTCTACTTTGAAAATGTTTCAGCTATTTAAAGTGGAGTATTCCACTTGGAGACAAACTGATAATAGAGAGACAGAGCTGTATATTTTACTCTCTGAAGCCCTGTCTAGGAAATGACCTTCCGAAGAGGACCTCTGCTAGAGGGTGAGATACAATGCAAATTTTTATTTCTTATTTATTTAGATCTCGAAGTGTATATACCCTTGAAGAAGTGACTTCGATGTTGAAGAGTTCTTGATTCAAGGAACTGAAGCTGCCCTTCCATTCCTCAGATCAAACCTGATTGCCTCCCATTTCCCACTGTATGACTCCCATGGGTTTAGCACCTCCCCATTAATTTATAATAATATTCTAAGTAGATTTCTTCACTTTCATTAACTATCATCCATTCTGCAGGAAATGCCCCAGCATGCTAGTAGCTTCCTTTGTACCAATCAACTCTCTTTATATACATTCACACATTGTAACTTATGCAAAGAAACAAAATTGTTTTGTTTTGTACAATATCAGCATTGCATCTCCAGTTAATATTTCCAGTGTTGTTCATTTAAGAACAGGCACTCTTAAGAATTATAAAATGTAAAATTATTATTAATTATTATTATTATTATTGTGACCTTAGGTGTATGTACAGTAAGCTCTCTTATAAAACCCTTCTGCATAGTAAGTTTTTGTAAATGCATTTCAAATAAGTACATTCAAAATTGAACAGCGGGTGGAAAGGTTTTCATAGCACATGCTATGACATCTTCAATAATGTATACTGATGATATTCTATCATGCCACATAGTGGTAATTCAATTATCCATCCTTGGGTTACTTTCAGTTACAGTAAGCTGCCCATTTCCAGCTTGAAATCTCATTCATCCACCTGCAGACAAAATGACTGGATAACTTGAGAAAATTATGTCATTGATCGTGTAAATGTAATTATTAATTGTCGTTAATGCATTTCTTGAGTTCCACTATTTTATGCCATAAAAATAATGTTACCCCAGAGCAATCACTTAGTTTTGGTTTTCTTTGTGTTCATTACTACCCACCTTTAATGGAGGGGCTCAATGCTAAAGAAAAAAATTCACATAAATTGCATGCTTTTTATTTAAAAGATATTTCTGGGAATAATGCTTGTAAATTTACTACAGGCAGTATGGATCAAATTCATTGATTTTTTTGATATGGTCATTTATTATTAGTATATGTATGACTTTTATATTTTTTCCTTATTATATTCAAAATATTTTTGTACGAGTCCTGGAAATGGGAAGTACATGTACTATGCCTGCACTTTAAAGGAGGGGTTTGGGATATTGGCAGCTTGGAGAGACTTCTAAACTGTCATATCTGAGCGCCTCTGCAAAGACAGTGGTTATGCGTGAGTGAGGTGAAAGTGTTGAATGACGATGAAAGTATTTTTCTTTTTCGGGGATTTTTTCTTTCTTTTTGGGTCACCCTGCCTCAGTGGGAGACGACCGACGTGTTGAAAACAAAAATGATGAAGAACAGTCTATAATGATATACTAGAATTTACATATGAGCTAAGTTTGCATGGCACATAATTAGTAATTTTGTTTTTTTATTTATTATCACACCGGCCGATTCCCACCAAGGCAGGGTGGCCCGAAAAAGAAAAACTTTCACCATCATTCACTCCATCACTGTCTTGCCAGAAGGGTGCTTTACACTACAGTTTTTAAACTGCAACATTAACACCCCTCCTTCAGAGTGCAGGCACTGTACTTCCCATCTCCAGGACTCAAGTCCGGCCTGCCGGTTTCCCTGAATCCCTTCATAAATGTTACTTTGCTCACACTCCAACAGCACGTCAAGTATTAAAAACCATTTGTCTCCATTCACTCCTATCAAACACGCTCACGCATGCCTGCTGGAAGTCCAAGCCCCTCGCACACAAAACCTCCTTTACCCCCTCCCTCCAACCCTTCCTAGGCCGACCCCTACCCCGCCTTCCTTCCACTACAGACTGATACACTCTTGAAGTCATTCTGTTTCGCTCCATTCTCTCTACATGTCCGAACCACCTCAACAACCCTTCCTCAGCCCTCTGGACAACAGTTTTTTGGTAATCCCGCACCTCCTCCTAACTTCCAAACTACGAATTCTCTGCATTATATTCACACCACACATTGCCCTCAGACATGACATCTCCACTGCCTCCAGCCTTCTCCTCGCTGCAACATTCATCACCCACGCTTCACACCCATATAAGAGCGTTGGTTAAAACTATACTCTCATACATTCCCCTCTTTGCCTCCAAGGACAAAGTTCTTTGTCTCCACAGACTCCTAAGTGCACCACATCACTCTTTTTCCCTCATCAATTCTATGATTCACCTCATCTTTCATAGACCCATCCGTGACACGTCCACTCCCAAATATCTGAATACGTTCACCTCCTCCATACTCTCTCCCTCCAATCTGATATTCAATCTTTCATCACCTAATCTTTTTGTTATCCTCATAACCTTACTCTTTCCTGTATTCACCTTTAAATTTTCTTCTTTTGCACACCCTACCAAATTCATCCACCAATCTCTGCAACTTCTCTTCAGAATCTCCCAAGAGCACAGTGTCATCAGCAAAGAGCACTGTGACAACTCCCACTTTGTTGTGTGATTCTTTATCTTTTAACTCCACGCCTCTTGCCAAGACCCTCGCATTTACTTCTCTTACAACCCCATCTATAAATATATTAAACAACCACGGTGACATCACACATCCTTGTCTAAGGCCTACTTTTACTGGGAAAAAATTCCCCTCTTTCCTACATACTCTAACTTGAGCCTCACTATCCTCGTAAAAACTCTTCACTTGAAAATAAGATTAGAGTTAAAAATTTAATTAATGCAAGATTCAAATTACAGAGTTTAATGGTACATTATAAAAGCAGTAATATAAGTCAAAACAAAGGTTTAAATAGAAAAAAAATTAAAGGGGGTGTTCAAGACTGGAGAAGAGAGAGAGTGCATGGTGCTTCCCAACTGGTAAAGGATTTACAGATGACTGAGAGGACACTAATAATAATGTACGTATTACTATTATTTTCACAGGAAGTACTAAACACATATGGGCTATACAGCACTTGGGGAAATAGGTAATCAAATCTGATTTGAGGAAGGAGAGACTAGCATTAATTCTTTTAATGAAGAGCATTTTACCAACATCAAGGAACACCTTAAAGTCTTGAATGTGTACTCATAGGAGTGGAGGAGAGAGATACATGATAATATATACCTGGTAGGTACTCGAGGGCCTGGTCCCAAATCTGTACACTGCCGTAACATACTGGAGTGAGAGATATGGGAGAAAGTGCAAGATAACCCAGTGAAGAGCCAGGATGCGGTGGGCACAATAAGGGAAAACTGTATCAAAATTCGTGGCCCCAGATTATTGAACATCTTACCAGAAGATATCAGAAACACTGCTGCAAAAAGTGTAGAAGCCTTCAAGAGGAAACTGGACAAGTATCTTCACCAGGTGCCAGATCAACCAGGCTGTGATGTATACGTGGGGTGGCGGGCCTCCAGCAGCAACAGCCTGATTGACCAGGCTAGTCCCAGATGAGCCTGGCCTATGGCAGGGCTCCAGAAGCCGAAAAATTCTTGAAACTCATCAAAGGTATATCAAAGGTAACTTTCCTTGAAGGGAATGGAGGGCAATAACTTGATAGCAAATGGTTCAGTTTTTAATGAGCAAATTCCTGTACTGTATATCAGATTTACTAAGCTACTATGATGGCTACAAAAATTATTCAGTGACAAAATGGATTGCAAAACTGAATTTATTTAAATGTCAAGAAAGTCTTTGGTAGCTTTCCTCTTGAAAGACTGGTATGAAAACTACAAAACATAGGAGTAAAAGATAAACTATTATAGTGAAAGATTGTTTAAAAGGAAAACACAAAATTATACGAGGAATGTTTTCATGCAATATGTCATTAGCAGAGTGCAAACGACTTAATGCCGAGTGCTCGCATTGTCAATATAAAGTGAATAGGTCACCTCAACACACTGCTGGGACAGACATATAACTGAACTATTGTTTGGGTTGTTGATAAAGTATAAACTGTATCAACAAGAGATTGTCTAGCAGCTGGCTGTAACACAGACTCACAGTCTATTCTTTATTTCTAATTGATTTTCTATTTCAAAAAGTTATCTACTTCAAAAAGGTCCTTGTTCCCATGCTGTTACACTGTTTCCTTGTATAATGCTGAACTAGAGAAACAAATGTAAAATTAATTGTTCAAAGAATGTCTGGCAAGAAGAATGATACAAGCAGAGGTGATAAATCCCAGGATGTGCCTTCACCTTCACACATAGCTGGAAAATGCATACCAAAACTATAAAAATAAGAGTTACACAGAAAGCATCAGACATGTCTTTCAGGCTGATACCAGGAATAGAGGGACAATAACCACCTATTTTTTTCTTCAATGCACTGGTTGTCTCCCACTGAGGCAAGGTGACCTTAAAAGAAAAACAAAAGTTTCTCTTTTTTAACATTCAATAATTTATGCACAAGAAGGGGTTACAAGGCCCTTGCTCCCAGCATTTTAGATGCCTCTTATGACACGCATGGCTTATGGAGGAACGATTCTAACCTGCTTCCTCATGGGAAGCAGGATTATTTCCTAGCAGGCTAACACTCATCAATAAAGAGAACAAGAGTCTGTAGTTATAAACATGACAGAAGAAAGGAATGGGTTAGAAGAGAAGGTAGTAAACATCACATTTTAAATTATATGATACATTAAATATCAAAGAAAATACCAGGAGTTTAACAAACTTTGCTCATGTTTGTATTCCTATCTGCTTTTAGCATCAGTTTTAATTCTCTCAGACCCAGTTGCTTTTTCCCTTCAATCTTCCCACTACCTGACCCTCTTCCTCACACTTGACTCTGGCTCTTCCTTACTTCTACAGTACCTAATAATAATCATTCCTGTAAAGTAAAAGGACACAAGTGCAACTAATGTGACATTTTATTGTGGCAGCATTTCGCTCTCCAGGAGCTTTATCAAGCCATTACAAACAATACATGGACACAGAGGGTATATAAAGGCTCAGAGTGAGGTGCAATACTAGTGAGGTACCATTTTGATGTTCACTAATGGTAGTAGTAGTAATAGTGACAAAAGTAATACAATATTGTAGAGCAATTAATTCGTACATGAGTAAAAGGATATAAAAGCTATTACTTGGGTAACATAAAAATAGGTTGGACAAATATAGACTGGAAAGAGGCAGCTTGTTTCAGTGTTCACTCTCTGTAATGTGCTTTGTGTAGTATAACAGGAGAGACTATGTGATGGCAGGGTTTACTGTTTTCAGGAGGATTAAGACTTCAGAGATGGTGAAGCTGCCGTTGTTTTGTTTAATTGTATTCGAAACAGTGATCAGTGCTGATTCGAGGCACTTGCGTCTGCGGAAATTAGTTTCTTTGATCACTAATTGGGCGTCTCTGAATTTCATGAGATGATTGGTGGAATTTCGGTGTTGTACACAGGCGTTGCTCAAGTTATCGTTCCTACATGCGTAAATGTGTTCATTGAGGCGGGTGTCGAGGTTTCTTGCTGTTTCACCTACGTAAATCTTGTCACAGCCTCCACAGGGTACAGTGTAAACTCCTGCATTGACTTGTTCGTGGCTCAATTAGAGACGCCCAATTAGTGATCAAAGAAACTAATTTCCGCAGACGCAAGTGCCTCGAATCAGCACTGATCGCTGTTTCGAATACAATTAAACAAAACAACAGCAGCTTCACCATCTCTGAAGTCTTAGCAAGAATCCTCCTGAAAACAGTAAACCCTGCCATCACATAATCTCTCCTGTTATACTACACAAAGCACATTACAGAGAGTGAACACTGAAACAAGCTGCCTCTTTCCAGTCTATATTTGTCCAACCTATTTTTATGTTACCCAAGTAATAGCTTTTATATCCTTTTACTCATGTACAAATTAATTGCTCTACAATATTGTATTACTTTTGTCACTACTACTACTACTACCATTAGTGAACATCGAAATGGTACCTCACTAGTATTGCACCTCACTCTGAGCCTTTATATACCCTCTGTGTCCATGTATTGTTTGTAATGGCTTGATAAAGCTCCTGGAGAGCAAAACGTTGCCACAATAAAATGTCACATTAGTTGCACTTGTGTCCTTTTACTTTACATATTGTCGGTAATTCTACCAACTTTATTACAATAATCATTCCTGCAAGAAATCATAGCCTCCCTTTCATCACAACCATTTTAACAACTCCAAATATATCCCCCCCTTCCTTTCCAGCATCTCCATTTCCATCTAATAATAGCCCTCTTTCCTTCTTAATTGATAAATCCATCTGCTCACCAGACTCTCATCTTTCTCACTGTCAGCAAAATCTGCCAATAAAGATTCACCTGCTCTCTCATTTAACCTCTTTCTTTTGTACATCATTTTTATACTAAAAATATCTCACATGCTAACTTTTTCTCCTTTAGCCTCCTCTTAACTTCTCTTACCCACTGACACCAATCACCTTGTATACTAAATTAGGCTTTTACTATACCTACCACTAAATATTAATCTGACATATAATAATAATATCTTTATTTCTACAAGTACATGTACAAGGTATACAGTCCTAGCTGACATCAATGACATACTACTATATAGAAAGCCACTTGTTATGCAGAGCATTTTGGGCAAATTGGGTCAGTTTTGCCCCAGAATGTGACCCACACCAGTCGACTAACACACAAGTACCCATTTTACTCATGGGTGAAGATACACAACTGGTGTAAGGAAACACGCCCAATGTTTCTACCCTTGCTGGGAATCGAACCCAGACACTCAATGTGTGAAGTGAGAGGTTTTGTCAGCAGGCCACACAATTCTAAAAAAACAGTACATCCAGAAGTTAAAAAATCAACCTTTAATCTACCAATAAATAGTATAGCAAACTACATGTCATCATACCTTATGTTATTCATTTTTTTTCCTTAAATAAGAATTACCAGTTACCTAACCTTTTTCTATACATAATTCATACCTCTCTCACTCCAGAGTTGCCTACTATGCCCTCTACAACAGTTTTTCCCCTTAGGATTTAAGTCATTCACACCAATTAATCGTTCAATTCAAAATTTTGTAAATATTTAACATCTCCCAATATCTCTCCTACACTCCTCTTGCCCCAAGGTGGATAAACACTTACTATAAGCCACTTTTCACATTCTGCCTTTATTCTAATTCACATAATTTTTGAATTATTACACTTAAACCCATGCTTCCTTTAAATAGTTGATCATTTAATATTACTGCCACCTTCTATAGCTCTAGTTCTCTCTGATACACCGACTTTAGTTCTGTTTTCCCCTCCCTACTGAAATTCTTGAACCCCCTTTAGCTTTTTCATTCAATGCTAGAACTTCAACCTCCTTTTCAGTCATAACATTAACAATCAATTCTTATCTGTATTACAGTCATGCATGTTCAAACAACCCAACTTTAAATTGTTCTTATTTGTCTTGTTTAGTACTATAACTGATGCAGAAGAGATTACAAAGCCCCTTTGTTCCTGCACTGTAAGTGCCTCCATGACAAACTTTATTTACAGAGAAAGAATTCTAACCCACTGGGTTAGAAGAACTATTAAGAGAAGAAAAGAACTATAAAGAAATTCAGAAGAAAATTCAGATGAGTTAGTATACATATGAATATATATGTAATGCATACTGGGTGCAAATAATAATTTCAAATATTTACAAGTCTAAGGGCAATGTGTGGTGTAAATATTATGCAGAAAATTTGGAGTGTGGAAATTAGGAGAAGGTGTGGAGTTAATAAAAGCATTAGTCAGAGGGCAGAAGAGGGGTTGTTGAGGTGGTTTGGTCATTTAGAGAGAATGGATCAAAGTAGAATGACATGGAAAGCATATAAATCTATAGGGGAAGGAAGGAGGGGTAGGGGTCGTCCTCGAAAGGGTTGGAAAGAGGGGGTAAAGGAGGTTTTGTGGGCAAGGGGCTTGGACTTCCAGCAAGCGTGCATGAGCGTGTTAGATAGGAGTGAATGGAGACGAATGATACTTGGGACCTGACGATCTGTTGGAGTGTGAGCAGGGTAATATTTAGTGAAGGGATTCAGGGAAACCGGTTATTTTCATATAGTCGGACTTGAGTCCTGGAAATAGGAAGTACAATGCCTGCACTTTAAAGGAGGGGTTTGGGATATTGGCAGTTTGGAGGGATATGTTGTGTATCTTTATACGTATATGCTTCTAAATTGTTGTATTCTGAGCACCTCTGCAAAAGCAGTGATAATGTGTGAGTGTGGTGAAAGTGTTGAATGATGATGAAAGTATTTTCTTTTTGGGGATTTTCTTTCTTTTTTGGGTCACCCTGCCTCGGTGGGAGACGGCCGACTTGTTGAGAAAAAAAAAAAAAATTACAAGTCACTTAATGTGTTATGAGACAAAGAAAAGACCAGTAATCCTGCTACAGTATGTAACATTTAACATATTTCAGTTTCACACCCCTATGACAGGATGATAGTATCTCCCTCAGTGTTTGCTACCTACCAACTTGCTACCCATCAAAATGTACTGGAAATAAAATCTGATAGGTAACCTCTGAGCTGATGATCAAGCTACTGGAAAAAAAATTTGCTTACCAAGTGTCTGATAGTTCAAGGCCACCAACTGACATCCTGCATTCCAAAACTGATGAGGGAGAAAATTAGAAGAGTCGACTCGTGTGCCCCGTGGATACACTCTTGCCAGCTGTCGCTTGTTGTAGTTGACAAACTCCATGGGGCTCTCCTTTAGCAAGTTGCTAGAATGTGTTTCGACAAATGATGACATCTCATAACTTCTGCTTCGTTCTGAGGGAGAAATTCAATCAAATTATGTACAAAAATAAAATTTTGTTGCAAACATCAAATATAGTTTCTTTTCCAAAAACAGTATTTCATTTTCTCTTTACAAAATAAACTTGCTATACTGCAGAATTCATAATTCAAAAAACATAAGCAACTAGATACATCAATCTAGTACTATAAATTAGCAGGGTCATACAGGAGTTTATTGATGATTTATCTGGGAAACACACAATTTATATATACAGCTTAATATCACTTAACTGACCTGGTTTGCCCCAGCTGTATATTAGCCATTTGTTAAAAGATGATAATAAATCATTTATCCATAGATGCTAAAAATTGCTTTCTTTCCCTTAACTGGATAAAACTAAGTCAGGAGAATGACTAACTACTTTAAAGAAAAGGCTTTTAAAATCCTTAAATGTAATTTTTATTTTTTTTCTGTGAGGTGAACTATTGTGATATGAACTTTGATACTGTATTTAAATCAAGCCATTTTAAACCCAAGCAAAATATGTTTTACATGTATTTTCACTCCCAGGTCTTTTACATTAGTTTTTCACTCTATTGTGTAGTTGGAATTTGTTTTATACTCCGATATAGTTTTAATTTCCTTATGTTTTTCCATATCAGAGTAATTGAGATTTCTTATCATTGAACTTCATATTGTTTTCTGCAACCCATTTAAAAATTTGGTTGATGTCCACCTGGAGTCTTGCCATGTGTCTTCAATGGAGGACACTGTCACGTATCATGAAAATTCGGGTGTCATCTGCAAAGGAAGACATGGTGATGTGGCTTACATCCCTGTCTATGTCAGATATGAGGAACAGGATGGGAGTGAGTACTGTGCCTTGTGAAACAGAACTTTTCACAGTAGCCGCCTCAGACTTTACTCTGTTTATTACTAGTACTCTTTGTGTTCTATTTGTTAGGAAATCATAGATCCATCTACGTACTAACTTTTCCTATTATTCCTTTATCATGCATTTTGTGCACTATTACACCATGGCCACACTTGTCAAAGGCTTTTGCAAAGTCTGTGTATACATTTGTAGTTTGTCTTTCTTTCAGAGCATCCAGGACCTTGTCATAGTGGTCCAGTAGTTGGGACAGGCAAGAGCGGCCTGCTCTAAACCCATGTTGCTCTGAGTTGTGTAAATGATGGGTATCTAGATGGGTGGTGAACTTGCTTCTTAGAACCCTTTCAAAGATTTTCATGATATGGGATATTAGTGCTATCATCTGTAGTTCTTTGCTATTGCTTTACTGCCCCCATTGTGGAGTGGGGCTATGTCTGTTGTTTTTAGCAGCTGTGGGATGACCCATGTCCATGCATCCTTTCTATAGGATGTTAAAACCATATGATAGGGACTTCTTGCAGTTCTTGATGAACACAGAGTTCCATGAGTCCTAGGCCTGGGGCAGAGTGCATAGGCACATCATTTATTGCCTTCTTGAAGTCATTTGGCATCAGGATAATATCAGTTAGGTTAAAGTCTACCAAATTCGATGTCTCATATAAAATTCATTTAGGTCTTTGACTCTGTCTGGTTAGTGGCTCACTAAAAACTGAGTCATATTGGGACTTGATTAGCTCACTCATTTCCATGCTGTCATCTGTGTAGGACCCATCTCGGCTAAGTAGGGCCCCAATGCTGGATGTTGTTCTCGACTTTGATTTGGCATAAGAAAAGAAATATTTTGAGTTTCTTTCAATTTCATTTATTGCTTTTAGCTCCTCCCGCATTTCTAGACTCCTGTAAGATTCCTTTAGCTTTAGTTCGATGTTTGCTGTTTCTCTGACCAGTGCCTTCCTTTGTATTACAGATATAATGTATTGGCCATTTTTAACCACTCTGTTATTCTTTGCCTTTGCCTGTATAGGGAGTGCCTTTCTCTTTCTAGTTTACACCTTCTCTTTCTTTTCATTAAAGGAATATGCCTTGAGCATACCTTGAGTGCCACAAAGTTATTTGTTCTAGACATAGTTTTGGATCAGTGTTGCTTAGGCTACCTTCCCAGTTCATATCATTTAGGACCTTATGTTTTTGTTTTTGAAGTTGAATTTGGTGAAGGCTCCCTCATGACTGATCACATTTTGTTGGTCTGGGTCCCCACGCATAAATGTCTGAACCTCTATTATGTTGTGATCTGGGTATATTGTGTTTGATATGGTAATATTTCACATCAAATCATCATTGTTAGTGAAGATGAGGTCCAGTGTATTCTCCAATCTTGTTGGCTCTATTATTTGCTGGTTTAACCCTTTCACTGTCAAGACCCCTGGTCACAAACTTGCTTTCAGTGTCAAAAAATTAAAAAAAAAAAAAAAAAAAAAAATTCTTAACAAAATCTTAAGAATATTTTTCTGAGTGTTTTAAAAGAAAAAAAATTTTTGCAATGAGTACTTACTGAGATATATAGGAGTGAAGTTGACAAAGTGAACTGCATGCGGCAACATCAGCAACTGCCACACATTCAGTAATATTATTTTTACTCTTATTCTATTTTTTCTTTTCTAATATTTTTTTCAAGTAACTTTTGTGGCCTGTGAGACCAATATAATGTACAATGTATATACGTACGTACAGCAAAAATTCGGAATACGACCAGCTCCCTACTCGAACAAAGCTCAGCACTCAACCAAACAAATACGACCTGCCAGAACTTTGCTGTAAACTATTTCGTGTTTCTTCACATTTTTTGGTGTTTTTGTATTTGTATAAATAAGTCACCATGGGCTTATGATGATTAGTGATAACAGCCAACCAAACAGAAAATTGGTTAGGAAGAACTTGTTCGATACTCAAACGGAGCGGCACTCGAACAGCCTTCTGGAATGAATTATGGTTGTATACTGAGGTTCCACTGTACAGTGGTCCCTTGTTTTTCGTAATTAATCCGTTCCTGGAGCCGTTACTATAAATGAAATTTACGATTTACGAATCAATTTTCCCCATAAGAAATAATGTAAATACAATTAATCCGTTCCTGACACCCAGAAGTATTAAAACAAAAAAATTTTTTACATGAAATATACATGTAGTACATAAACAATACAATGGGAAATGATGAATGAAACATTAACAGCATAACACTTACCTTTATTGGAGATTCTTCTTAGTGTATGGGAGACTGGAGGAGGAGAGAGAGTGGATTGTTTATAGTTTGGAAGGGGAATCCCCTTCCATCAACACCTCAGGTACCAATTGCTTTTCTGGGGTTGCTTGTCTTCTCTGTTTCTTAATGCCACTAGGACCACCTTGAGAGTCAATGGAGTCCTGTCTTGCAAAATAACTGTGGAGAGAGCTCTGTTTCTGGTGTCTCTTTAAGACTTCCCTAAAATGGCCCAAGACTTTGTCACTGTACATGTTGCCAATATGGCTTGCAACAACCTTGTTAGGGTTATGTTTCTCCATAAAGCTTTCCATCTTACCCCACATAGTAAAAATCTCTTTAATTTCTGAAGAAGGCACCTTCTTCCATCTCTCTTCCTCCTCCTCTGCAGCAAGATTCTGAGCTGCGATGTGTTGCTCTTCCTGCTGAAGCTCTTGCAGCTCCTCAGTGGTGAGCTCTTCGTTGTGGTCTTCCACCAATTCTTCCACATCCTCCAAACTCACATCCAACCCCATGGAACTTCCCAGTGCCACAATTGATTTTACAACAGACATAGGCTCATCAGGGTCAGTCCCAAACCCTTCAAAATCCTTCTTGTCGACACAATCTGGCCACAATTTTCTCCAGGCAGAGTTCAAAGTCCTGGTAGTCACTCCCTCTCAAGCCATACCTATAAGGGTTATGCAATGGAGGATGCTGAAGTGTTCTCTCCAAAATTCCCTTAGGGTCAAGTGAATGTCTGTGGTCACAGTCAAGCACCTGTGAAACATTGCTTTTGTGTAGAGTTTTTTAAAGTTTGCAATGACCTGCTGGTCCATGGGCTGGAGGAGAGGAGTGGTATTCGGAGGCAAGAACTTTACTGTGATGAACCCAAACTCCTCAAAAATTAGGTTATCCAAGTTTGGAGGATGAACAGGTGCATTGTCCATTACTAGCAGGCACTTGAGATCCAATTTCTTTTCCAGGAGATACTCCTTCACACTAGGGCCAAACACTTCATTGAACCACTCGACGAAAATTTCCCCCGTGACCCATGCCTTACTATTAGATTTCCAAAACACACACAATTTAGTCTTCATAACATTGTTTTTCCTGAACACACTGGGATTTTCTGAATGGTACACTAGTAATGGCTTCACTTTGAAATCCCCACTAGCATTAGCACAGAACATTAGCGTCAGCCTGTCTTTCATAGGCTTGTGTCCTGGCATTGCCTTTTCCTCTTGTGTAATGAAGGTCCTCTTTGGCATTTTTTTCCAAAAGAGGCCTGTTTCGTCACAATTGAACACTTGTTCAGGTTTCAGTCCTTCAGCCTCTATGTACTCCTGGAATTCATGCACATATTTTTCAGCCACCTTGTGGTCCGAACTGGCAGCCTCACCATGCCTTACCACACTGTGTATGCCAGTACGGTTCTTAAATCTCTCAAACCAGCCTTTGCTGGCCTTAAATTCACTCACATCACCACTATTTGCAGGCAATTTCTTTACCAAATCTTCATGCAACTGCCTAGCCTTTTCACAAATAATCGAAGTCATAAGAGTATCTCCTGCTAATTGTTTCTCATTTATCCACACCAATAATAACTTCTCAACCTCTTCCAGTACTGGTGATCTCATTTTTGTCAGCATAGTTACTCCCTTTGCAACAACAGCGTCCTTGATTTCCTTTCTCTTGGCCACTATGGAACATAAGGTTGTGTAGGGTTTCTTATACATCCTGGACAGTTCGGCCACACTTGTACCACTTTCATATTGTTCAATGATGGTTTTCTTAAATTCAATCATATTTCTCACCTTCTTTACCACAGGCTTGTCACTAGGAGCTTTCTTTGGAGCCATGGTAGCTTATTTAGTACTTGCAAGCACTAAAATAAATGGAAT